TTATAAGACTTTCATAACACTATTAACTAATTTGACTAATTGACATTTACAGGATATTCCAACCAAAAGCAGAATATGCATTATTTTCAAGTGCAAATATGATATATTGATGTAGCCACATTTCTCGGGACCATAAAAACATGTCTCAGAGTATTCCGTCAGGTATGTTCTGTGCGACGCTGCAGTGGAATGTAAATTGAGAAATCCGAATATTAAGAAGAACCTAGAAGCGGTCCTCAAATATATGTAAAATCTAAATAACACTTTATCAAATAAACCATGGGTCAAAGTAGAAATGAAAAGGAAATATAGAAAGTATTGGAACCAAATAAAAATAAAAACACTCAGCCTAGGCAACACAACAAGACCCATCTCTAAAAGTAACATTAAAAAATTAACTGGGCATGGTGGTACATGCTATAGTTCAGTACGTTGGGAGGCTTGGGCAGGGAGAATCACTTGGAGCCCTGGACGTTTGCGGGTTACAGTGAGCGTATTGGTTGGACCACTGCACTCCAGCCTGGGTGACAGATAGGGTGACAGAGTGGGATCTTGTCTCTAAAATACAGTAAAACCACAATATATTAAAATCTGTAGGATGAAGCTAAAGTAGTGCATGTAGAGAGAGGTATAGCACTAAATAATCCATCTTAGAAAAAAAGTTAAGTTTCCGACAAATGACATCAGTTTCCACTTTCAGAAACTAGAAAAAGAACACATAAAGGCCAGAATAAGCAGGAGAAAGGACATGATAAATATTACAGCAGAAATCTAAGAAATAGAAACTGGCTGGGTTCCTGACGGCTCATGTGTGTAATCCCAGCACTTTGGGAGGCCAAGTCAGGAGGATTGCTTGAGATTGCTGAGTCAAGGAGTTTGGAGACTGGCCAGGGTAGCATAGCAAGAGCTATCTCTTTTAAATTTTAAAAAAGAAATAGGAAACAAAAATAATAGTAAAGATAATCAATGAAACCCAACCTGGTTATCTGAGATCAATAAAACTAATAAACTTCCAACAAGACAGATCAGGACAAAAGGAGAAATGACTAAATTGCTAACATCAGGAATAAAGGAGAGAATATCACTCTAGTACCTGCAGACAGAAGAATAGTAAGAAAATATTATAAACCACTCTATGCTCATAAATTCAACAAGTTAGAAGAAATGGACAAAAATCTTTGTAAAATGCAAACTACCAAGACTCACTTGAGAATAAATAGACTATATATAAAAGAAATTCAACTTGTAGTGAAAAACAGTTCTCCATAAAAAACTTCAGGCACAGATAGGTCCCTGGAGAATTCTACCAAGTATTTATAGACAACATTGAACCCATTCATTATAAGCTCTTGAAAAAGTGAAGATGAATTGGTCCCAACTCATTCTAAGAGGCCAGCATTTCTCTGATACCAAATGTGGACACTCAACGACTGAAGCCGGGATTTACA